ATTAACGCTGTCTATGCTATTCAGAAAATATTATGGAGCTATATAAAGTTATCATCTAGGAACAAAATACTTTGAACCAAGGACTATGGATAGTTGATGAACATTCGAACTCGAAAAAGGCTGTAAGGCTGTAAAAAGGTTTTTTTGAATAATTCAAATTTTATCTTCCAATTTTTGTAAACAAACAAGTTTGAAGCATAATTTAAGCTATGAAAATTGCAAATCGTTTATCATTGTATAATTACAGCAACATGCTTAAACAGGACCGAAAATGACTTAAAATAGGAAATTTTGAGAATTTATGGAAAAATTCATTTTCGAACTTTAGTAAACACATCGAAAAAAATGCGGTAAAATTCAAAATATTTATAGTTTAACTGACAGCGTGCTATCCATAGCCCTTGGACTTTGAACATTGAAAAGAAGCTGTTGTTAACCCCTTTCAAACAAATATTTGGTCTGTTTCTAGTTATCGAACAATAAACATTTTGTTATTAATTACGAATCCGTGAGGAGTCTTAACTTAACTTTATTAAGAACACAAACTTTGTTCATTTGTGTTCTTGCCTTTAAAAAGATGAAACCTAGCGTTGGCAATTTGAAATTAAAGACACAAGTCTTGCCTTTGCAAATGCACGAGTTTGCTACATCAAAAGCATATTCTAGTTAAATGCACATTTGTATCAACACTGGTTCCAAATGCCGTGATTATCATCATTCCAGTTGTTACAATGACTTACAATGACGATTGTTACTCTGTTGATGCTTAAATTTTACGTCAGCAAATCTTTTAATTAGCTTTAAGAAAACTTTAATTCAGTATTTAAATTGTCTTTACTAAGTTACCCAATAGTTGTGTTTGGACCATTTACAAAATCACAAAAAATCACTCATTTTCGGTTCCTTTTTAACCTATTTACCCAAATAGCCGCAAACCCTCAAACCCTCTTAAAATTCGAATGTCCAAGATTGTGTAAAGTTCAAAAATTTGAAATTTAAGTGCTGCGCTGTATGCTCTAATTTAATATCTTATTTACAATAAGTCGCACAGCAGGAAATGGAAAAAGTTTTTCTTCCTCTCGCCACTTCGATCGAAAATATTCTCTTAACATATTCCCTTTGACAGGTATTAACATCTGCATAAAACTTGCTCCTGCTACACACATATTGCGTCGCCTTTTATAGAGTGAAAATTTAATGAGAATATATTGCAGAAAATAAGTTCTCGTTCAATTTGCACTAGACACGATATTAAAGCTTCTTATTTATTTAAAAAAGAGCATAATATAGGAATTTATGAAGAAAAGTTTGACTCTATAGTAGGTGGATAAGATGATATTTAATTACAATTTATGTAACTAGCTAGGAATGAATTTATTGATATAATCATTGTCTTAAACTTTTTTTCCATCCTGTCCATAAAAACTTTCGTTGTTAGAAAAAAAAGCTTTAACACACAAAGTTGAATGTCTTCATAAAGGTGGAACCACAAAAAGTATCGATTTTAAAGGCATCACCTTCAATATACATCACGTTTCATCTTCACTTATTTACAGCATTAAACGTCGCCCGAATAACTCAATTTAATTTAACAGCAACGCAACAAAAAAAAAAATAATATGTTTCATGCTGTGTCATGAAATTGTATGTGTGAAATATCACATGGTGAAAAGTGCTCATTTGTACGGACGTAGAAAGTAATCCACAATTTAATGTTATCCATTCCCTTCTTCAAATTAACTTTTACGATGAAACCATTTTGCATAATTTTAATAGCTTTCATCGTTTGAATGAATAAAAAAAATTTTAAACAATTTTGTCACGAGAAAATGTGCTTTTTATGCTTAGTTTGACTGATTTTTCGGGATGTTTTACGCTTTGTTAGGCTGATTCCTTTTGAATTTTTTTAAAAAACGATTTTCATGCTTTTTGAGGGATTGTGATTTTTTGGGGATCGTTTACAAATTAATCCCTCGCAAAAGAGGATCAAATCCCTTGCAAATCCCCTCAATCCAAATTATGTTTTTAAAACTACTATAAAAGCTAGGACAACTCTTAAAGGTCAACCTTAATGAGTCAGCCCCAAATGCGTCACTATTTTCCCTCCTCACCAATAACTTCCATGAAAATTAAACAAATTAAAGCAATAATAAAAGGGAAAATATTACGGGAGACTAAAACTAAGCACGATGGCAATGAAAAACACGAATAAATATTTAAGAACGTGCTTTTATGCTGATATGACCAGATGACTTAATCACTAATTTAAAAATTTTCTCGTTTTTATGACTTGTGTGGTTTTTAGCTAATTAATTAAGAAATTATGTTTCACTTTTATTCGTGGTAACCAGGCGAATAGAGCAAGGGGGGGGGGGGGGAGGAGACAGTCCCCCTTGTTCGAAATTAATTCAGTTTGTTATCGGTTTTAATTTAAAAGGAATTTGTATTTTTCGTATACAACAAATGTTAAAATCTCCTCTTCAAAAAATTTCTAGCTTTGTCCCTAACTTGGTAGTACTTACCACTTGCTTGCCACAATCTTAAAATAATTAAAATTACACCTAATGCAAAGCAGAAGATGTACAAAAATGAAAAATACTTTCTAGGAACCTAAAGCTATTTAAATTGTCTTTAAATTCAGAGAAAAGGGATTAATTTACATCATCATCAGCAACAGCAATGCTCGGTAAGAAAATAATGATATTACCAGAAATTTTTCCTGTCAGAAATTTCTCACAAAAACTGGATATTTTCTTCTTTGACTTTATTCTGTAATTAATTTTTCTTCACATTCAAAGAGAATTCTTGAGGGTATAAAAAGCTTTCAAAAGCAAAAAGTAAGTAGTCGAGAACAAGCTTTAAAAATTTAAATGTTTTGTTTTTGAGGTTACTTACCTTAAAGATTATTTACAAATGACGTTTAATTTTGGGATTCGGGATGGGTGAAAAAAAATTAAAGGCAAAAATCCCTTGTGTCCCGTCCCAAAGTTATTCTAGATATTTAAGATGGGATACATTACGAGAGGACGTCATTAATGAAAAACTCCTTGTTGTTTTGTTTATAAGCTGTTTTAATGTCCTGGTTTTTGCTTTAATGCTCAATTTTCCTCGTTAATCGATAAGCTCAAAATAAAATTAGAAATAGAATTACAACATCCGATATTATTTTGTTACAAATTCTCAGTCTTAATCATCCTGTATTAGTGAATAATACGATTTACAAAAATAATATTGAATGTTCATCGTAATTTGCCACAAAGCTCACAAAATCAGTAGTCCTTAGAAAGTTTTTATCAGAGGTCAAAGTCAGTGAAGTAAAGTCGATTCACTTCGCTCAAAAATTCAATCGGTTTCAAGTCGACTCGAGTGAACACGAAATAAATAAGGACACTCGAGTTGAATTGAAGTCGATTGAAATTTTAAGTGAAGTGAACTTACTTCACTACATCGACTTAGACCTCTGATTTTTATACCTTAAGCAAGTGATTCGGATTCTACAATAAACTGTAGGAATAGGTTTGAGTGCATTGTTCTGATGAATTCTTAATCTTTAAACTCTCAATAGTCGCATCTGTGGATCAAAATTATTATTATTATGAGTTCATTTATTTGATGCCTTAAATTAATCTGGATAGGAAATGGTAGGGACACAATAAGTCCTAAATAATTTGAGGTACCTGCTTTATCTAAGATTAAATGAAAAATTAATATTTCTGATGTTCGAGTTTACAATAAACTGTTAACGGTAATTCTTACTAGACCTCAAACTTGAAAAAAAATTTGGAACTGAATTAAATTAGAAATCTTATTGCATAATTCTTCATAAAAAAAAATTAGCCTTAAAGAACAAAAATGTCAATCTTAAACAAGCAAATCTCAACAATAAAAGAACGAACGAGATGAATAAAAAAATAAATTGAAATTTTTTAAGACGAGATGAACTGTATATAATAAATTGATGTACTGTCATATTCAGTGACAAAAAGTCTAACTGCTTTGCTCCCTAGGCGACGCACAAGCTTCAATTTTAAAATTTACAAGAGACATCAGAACGAGATTGTTGAAATTTTCTTGGAAATTAAAATTTCCAAAGAACTTCTTCTGCTTCTGATCAAAGTATACAAGAAGAACTTACAGCCTTTTTGAGGATTGTTACTCTTCATAATTGGATGCCATATCACGTGTTTGTCAACATCAAGCAGTTAAAATTAAATTTCATAACTTCATATTTCCCCCATGAATTTTCCGGCGCTCCATACCGATGCCTCGTTCGCATGTTTCGAAGATAATTCCAAAAAATAAAAAAAGAATCTTGATTACACATCCTATTGATGTATGTATAAGATGATATAAACATATCTCTCTGGAAATGACACGAGAAAATTGCTTATTTTGTTCTTCTTCTTTTGCTCCTCGTTTTTTTGGATTAAAATTTATTTAAATTTTGTTTCCTCTTCTATTGTTTCAATCAATGGCAGAAACAAAAAGTTCACAGCTAAATTCACAATAAAACTTCATATAGATATATCTATCATGTATTTATATTCTAATAAAAAAAGGGAGGATACAATTGTATGCCGTAATTCATTCATAAATTATGTCATTTCTTTTCAATTTCCTCTTCTTTTTCTCGTTCACAAAACGAACATGACGACAACACAAAATAATAAATAAATATATAGAACAAAAAATCATTCAAATGATCCGAAACAACCTTTTTTTCTACCTACGACAAGTCAACAACATAATTTATGAATGGAACAAACAAAAATTTCTATGACACATAAATTGGAATATAAATTGCAATATTATTGAAATATATTAGGTTAGAGTCATAAGAACCATAAAGGAAACATTTCTCAATAGTGTTTAGCTTAATTATTATCAAACTTTGTTTAAGTTATGCCTCATAAAAAAAACCGACGTCTTTGGGGCCGTTCACTTATTACGTTCGCTTTTTAGGAGGGAGGATTTTGAAAAATTGTAACAAAATGTTCAGAGGGGGGGGGGGGGGTTGTGAGTTGTAACATATTGTAGCAAGAGGGGGAGGGGGTGAAAAAAGTCGTTTTTGGCGTAACGTAATAAGTGAACGGCCCCTTTCCTGTTTCATTGTTTTATCATTTTCCTAATTTTTTTTTTGGCTGATCACAACATGTTGCATGTTAACATTTAAAAAATAAATTACAGAATAAATTGTGCAAATTTTTTTTACAATCCCTTACAATAAAGTGAAAACTTACTTAAAGGTCGTCCATAAATGACAAGTACAATAGAACTGTGTAATTAAACATCCCCTCCATCCTGTGACGTCATTTATGAGCAAACCTCTTATTCTTATTCTCATTCTTTAAATCATATTTCCGCGACTAGAATTTAATGTTGCTGTTGAATTAGTACGTTCAGTTCTCTGTGATATTGTTTCAGGATCTTCGTCATCATCCTCCGTGTTGTTATCTATTCGTATTGCTTGGTACCACTTATTTGTTAAGTCTGTCATTTGACTCTTACAATCCCTTAATTCCTGTTGAAAAAGTGGAAGTTTAAATGAATATTTATGAGTGTTATTTGTTGAAAGTCAAAAGAATTTATCTTGTTTTTGGTAAGCGCATCAAATTCAAATTTGATAGCAATTTCTTACCTTATTCGAAAATATTCGTGTAAAGAAAGGCGTAAAATACTTTCGATCTAATCGTGCAAATCCACCAAGTTTTGAATTAGTAAAGCTAACTTCCTCTTCCTCAGTTAATTCAGATAAATGTTCAGAATCTATTGCCTGACCAAATTCACGAGTCTTTGATAGCGAAATGATTTTATGCTTATTTTTTGGTCTGCTTCCCGATTGACTTCGTGGTCTGCTTGTACTACTGACATTATTGTTATTATTATTTAATGCTCGACGATTCTTTTTGCCAGGCTGTAAAACTTTAAGCAACGGTAATGTTGATCCACCGAAAACAACCTGTTGAATTGTGAAAAAAAAAACATGTAAATTTATAAAAATTACAATAAACAGCAGAGACAGAGAAACTTACAGTTGTAAAAAGTACAATAATTAATGTTGTTGTTATTACTACTCTTCGTGTCTCTTCCTTAGAATATTCCAAATGTAAGCTAAGCGCATAACTGATAGCACCACGAAGTCCACTAAACCACATGATAAATGACATTTTTGAAGTAATCTTTGTGGCACGAAATCTGTTCACTATCCAAGTCAACGGGAAAATATTTGCGGCACGTCCAATTAAGCATAAAGTAATACTCCAAATAACTAATGCCCATTCAACTTGATGTTTAAACGAGAAAATGGCAAGTCCAAGGTATGAGAAGATGCTCGTCTCACAAATAAATGCCAAAGTTCTCATCGTCTGTTGCATAGTTATTTGTGTGACTGTCGAAAGGTTAAAGTGGGTGTAATGACTCATAACGATACCGCAGAAAAGGATAGCCATTATGCCAGATAAATGACTCCCTTCTGCTAAACAATAAGGACAGTATGTTACGACGAGTAGAAAGGCTAATTCTAGTGATGGATGTTTTCTTAAATCTATCGGGATATAGAAAAACCGTTAAAATTAAATTCACTGTTAAATTTTGAATAGTTTAATAATTTTTTGAAAGCAACAGCTTATTCAACAGCTTATGTTAGGAGAATTAAAGTGATGAAAAATAATTTATGAATCATCGATTTATTTTTGAATGACGAAAATCATGAGTAAGCACGATACTCACCGACATATTTAAGCAACAATGCACTCATTAGTGCAAATAAAACGCCAATTCCAGCACTTGCGAAAAACATCATACAAAAGCGATTAATCGCCAAAATGATGGCTTCACCACGTCCAATATTAAGCAATTCTTCCCCAGCTCCCTTTGTAGGCATCACAGTAGTAGTAAGAACAATAGAAATGGCATCGTTAAGAATACTTTCGCCAAATACTAGAAATAAATTTATTCATTATTGTATCAAATTTTAAGCAACAGGATGTTATTTGACATACCTAACATATTTAAAACTGGGTCTATGTCCAATGCATGAAAGATTGCAATTGTAGCGACCGGATCCACAGCTATAGGAATAAATTTAATTTATAATAGCATTAGATCAATAGAATAGCAATAATTACCTGAAATTAGAGATCCAAAAGCAAAGCTTTCGATGAAATTTAATCTATAAGCAACATCAGCAATTCCAAGAAGATAAACGCCGCTTCCAATGACTAAAGCACTTATGGCTGTACCCAAAATAGCAAAAACACATATGCTCCCAATGTTTTGAAAGAAGTTTCCTTTATGAAGATTATAGCCAGATTCAAAGATAATCGGTGGTAACAGAACTAGGAAGAAGCCAGTTGGCGAAAAAATCTCTTCGCGTTCCAGAATTTCTTTTATGCTTGTAAAGTTAAGGATGAAACCAATCAAACTTCCAAGTGCTATAGTAACGATTGATTCAGGTAGATACTGAACTTTGGTCTGTAGCATGCAATGGATCAACAATATTCCCAATGCTATTACACAAAGGACAAAGAAGAGAGACATTGAGGAGATTTTTTCGGCTTCTACGGCATTCTTTGCTTGTATATTGTTGTTTTCTATACTCGATTTTGACGATGTTGCCTCTGTCGTCGTCGTTGTTGTTGTTGTCGATGAAACTGACGTGGTTGATGCTAATTAATAGATAGAAGAAAAAATTAAAACGGAATTAATAATCGAACAGCATTATATGCATATTTTGGCATAATTCGCACGCGCAATCACTAAAACGAATGAATTGTTCATATAATGTTTGAATAATTTAATGCTTTAAACATTCTAGACTTCACTGGATCTTATCAATTTTTATTTAATTACGAAATAGTTTTTTTTTTCTTTATGATAAAAAATACTTACTAATGGTCGTCTCTGTCGCATTTGGTTCATGCTGATCATTAGCTACTGATACTGTTGGATTAGTGACATTATTTGCGTCTACATTACTCGAATTAATACTTGCTGTTGAACTAATTAATGAATTTTCGCTAGGCTTAACTTCCTCTTCCAAGGATAATGCAATATTTGATGATAAAATAATAAATAAATAAGGAACAACTATCCACTTTAACAACATTGTTGGTTTTATACTATTTTAAATCTACTGGAACTGTAAATTATCCATTAGAACGTGAAATAACTTAATTATTTTATTTCGTTGCAAAAAAGCTCTTTTTTGCACTTTTTGTTTAGATCAGTGCTTGTCAGCCTTTTTTGATTCGCGGTACACTATTTGACTCTTTTACGAGAAACTGAATATAGTTTGAGAACCACTGGATGTTATGGATGTTCAGAAATCCTTCTAGAATATTTAATTCAATTGCAGTTTGTGAATATCGCAATGATTTTCTTTAAATAATGCATAAACTGATTAATTATAGGATGTAGAATAATAGATGCTAGATAAATAGGCTGAGATATTGCAATAGTGATAAAAATTTTGGAAAAAACAAAATGTAAACAAAACTGCAAACGATATGAAATTTATTTTCTGAACGTATAATTCTTAACTTCCACGATGAATGTAAATAGAGTCTGATTTTTCAATGTTTATCTTGATTAATTATTCATTTATAAAGCAGAATTAAAATTCTTTTTATTTCTTATGTTTCTTTACTCTCTTTATGACAACACATGATTTTAAAAAGTGAATTTGAGCATCTTACAAAATCATCACTCAGTACGGAAGTTTAAAGTGCATGCTTGTAAATTACAGAAAATTCGCAAAAAAACAATATTATAAAAAATAATTAATTTTATGCTATTTCCAAAGAGTTAAAAGGCAATATAAGCATAGAAATCAGCAATAGAGTATCTTATCAAGTCAACAAAATGGTAAGAACATCAATTTTAGTGAGAAAAATGAGCAAAAACAAAATAAATCAAAATCACAATGGTGGAAATTGAAATTAATTAATTGTGATTCTAAATTCTATGTCACGCTTAAATTAATATCTTATTTATCATCTCATCTAGTCGATCAGTGAGTTCCTGAAAGACCTACCAGTGCACAATCACGAGAATTTTTCTCAATACAATGTGGATAATGCGAGAACCAAAAGACCATCGTAAGTAATAAGAAACTTAACAAAACAAAGTCATGTCAATGTGTTTGAATGCATACTTTATTGACTAAAATTAATACGTTCCATTTTTTCACGTTTAATAGAATATATCTACCTACAGTCGATTATCCAGCAGATCAGAGTAAGTTAACCATTTAATTTCATTAATTTACAATAGAGCTTATGGATTGTCTTGTATTCACTTTTAGTTATAATAACAGAAAAGAAAAACATTCTCTTAAGATATCTTCATCAAACGTGGGAGAAGAAAAATCAACCGAAAAAGAGGGAAGGAACCGAACCTACAGACAACCTCCTTCGCAAGAGAATTCGCCTTGACAGAACAGATTCAAATCAAAATAACAATAATTAATTAATTCATTCATTTATCGATCCTTCATCGTAAAAAAAAGTTTTCTTACCTCTGGAAATTCTGTCTTCTCTACATACATACAAACTTACTGCTTTTTTACCAGTTAATTACTTTATAAAATGTTTATTTGATCTTTCCGTATTTTTCTTTGATTCTGTCATGAAATTATTATCATTTTAAAGTTGATACTATTGCTGAATAACTCTTCTTTTATGAGATATGAACTTTTAAAATTATTATTATTACGATTGAATTTACTGTAAGGATAAGTGTTCAAAGTTCAACAATTCTGTTAACTTCCATTTTGATTTTGTCGATTATAATAAACGTGAAATTATAAGGAAAAGTGCCTTTTGTGTCTGTCTTTTGGATTATTGCGACATTTTCAGCAACGCATTTGCACACATGGAAATAAAACCTGATAAAATTGCGACATTACAACTGGAACTAAGTCGGACGAAATGCATGCATACTGAATCAACGAGTTGAAAGCAGTTTCAAGTGTAGTTTTGAGGTCATTTAATAATCAAGTCCAATGCTTGTTAAGACCTTCAAGATGTTTGTATTACCATTAATTGTAAACAGCTATACGTCATTAGAGAAATTGTTCCTTCAACAATTTAACTCATTCATAGAAAACGGTTTTAAAGAATTTAAACACAAAGAATGAATTTTATAGAACCGTGCAATTCCATAAAAATAGTCCAAACCTTACAAATTCTTAAAAATGTGTTTCAGAACAGTACAAATGATTTTTAATGTCAAAACTTCACAAATTCTTTTTCAAAAACCTTACAGTTTCCAAAATGTGTTTCGGAACAGTACAAATGATTTTTAAAGTCAAAACTTCACAAATTATCTTCTTCTTCTTCTTAATTATCTTTATTAAGGTCCTTTTTAATAAATTTTAAGACCATTTTCAATTCCAAATATGTTTTACATTATTTTAAATTTATAAATACGAACTGCAGTACAGGATATTATGTGTTTTGGTGTTAGATTTTGTCGTAAATATTAATTTCTTTTAGAAAGTTTAAAATTTTGTCTGTTTCATCTTTTTCGTCTACTTCAAGTGTTTTGTAACTGATATTAAATTTTGAAATAGCTGATTGGTTGTTTGTGCATTCAAATATATGTCTGACTGTAAGTGGGATGGTGCATGTGCATATTGGGGGAGAAGTTTTTTCAATAAGATGTATATGTGTTAGATTTGTGTGTCCAATTCTAAGTCTTGTCAGTACTGTCTGGTCTTTTCTTTTATATGTGTCAATATTTGTCCATTTCTTACATGTTTTTTTGATGTTTCCTAATTTATTTCCGTTTCTGATTTCCTCATTCCATTCTTCTTGCCAAAGTTTTGTGACATGCTCTTTTACATGTTTTGTAACGTCTTCAATCAATATTTTATAGTTTGTGTAAAGTTGTTGTTTTGTGGCTTCTTTTGCATGTTTGTCTGCTTCTTCGTTTCCTTTTATTCCAGTATGGCTTGGTATCCACATTATTGTTGTTTCTGTAGTATTGTCTCGTAATTTATCTTGGATTTGCTGTAGCATTGTGTTTTTTGTATGTGAGCTTCTTAATGCCTGGACTACACTGAGCGAATCAGTGCATATGAGTGTTTTATTGGTTAATCTATGTTTTAATGCTTTTGATAGCGCGAATAGCTCTGTTGTGTACACTGTCGAGTAATCGTGACATTTATATTTGTATGTATTGTCTCTTGTTACCACTGCTGCTCCGTATCCTTCTTCTGTTTTAGATCCGTCTGTGTAGATTATTTCGTACCCTTTTCTTGTGTATGTGTCTAGTATTTCGTTGAATGTTCTTTTGATTACTTCGTGTGATGTGTTGTCTTTGTTGAATTGTGTCATTTTCAAATTGATTTTGAATTTAGATTTTCTCCAGAAAGGATGAAATGAAGATTGTGGTTTACAGAATTTTGTGTCTTTGTTGATGTTCATTTTTTGGAGTTCTTGTCTCATGATATACGTTATTGGTGGATTTGTCAATTTTTTGTATTTGTTGTCTTTGGAATCGTCTTGTAGACTAGGGTTTAGAATGTTTTTGCTGTTGTTTTTGACTTTGCATGCGTATTTTATTAGGTGTATTTTTCGTTGATGTTTTAGTGGGGTGATTCCTGATTCTATGTGGACACTTGCATTTGGTGATGTGACAAAAGCACCAATTGCGTATTTTGTACTTCTTGTGTGTATTGTGTTAAGTTTCCGTTCATCCTTTTTTGTGAGTTTTGTAAAAATAAGTGCTGAATAGTTATGTATCGATGTTGTGACTGCTTCGTGTATTCGTAGCAGAGTTTGTCTCTCTCCTCCATATTTAGTGTGTGATAGCATTTTTATTAAGTTGATGTTTTTTGTTGTTTTGCTATGTAATTGATTGATCTGTTCCGTCCACTTGAGTTTATTATTAAAAATAACTCCAAGAAATTTATAGTTGTCGACGTGTTCAATGTTTTGATTGTTCAATTTTATGTGTGGTATTTTAACATTTTTCTTCAGTTGTTTTGTGAAGTGCATGATTTTTGTTTTGTCTATTGAAATCTCAAGACCATTTTTGTTCATCTGTGTACTTGTTTCATTAAGTGTTTTTTGTAAGTTTGCTTCGGTGGATTTAGTGTCCTTTCCATTGCGGAAAAGGACCAAATCGTCAGCATATGCGCAAAACTTTGTATGTTGATCTATGTTGTTGAGTACATCGTCGAACACTATGTTGAATAGTGTGCATGATAGTACTGAGCCTTGTGGAATTCCGTTGTCCATATATCCTGTGTCTGATTCTATGTTTCCTATTTGAATGTTGAATGTTCTGTTTTGCAAGAAGCTGTTGATGTAATTAACTATTTTTCCTTTAAATCCAAGTCTTTCCATATGTTCTTTGACTTTGTGCGTCCAGACTCTGTCATACGCGTTTTTTAAATCGATAAAAACTGCTGTTGTTTGTTCTTGTGATGCAAAACCTTTCTGTATGCTGTCAACTAAGTATGTAATGTTGTCTATTGTACCTTTTCCTTTTAAAAATCCTGATTGAAAGTTGTTTAAAAGATTTTTGTTTTCTAATGTCCATTGTATACGTTTATTTATTATTTTTTCCATCAATTTGCACGTGCAGCTTGTAAGAGCTATAGGTCTGTAGCTTGTTGCTTGTCGTGGGTCTTTGCCGGGTTTTTTGATTGGGATAATTATTGAGTGTTTCCATGTTTGTGGTAGTCCTTCATTTAGTATCTTATTGTATAGCTGTAATAACATTTGTTTCCCTTTTTGCGTTAGGTTTCTGATCATATCGTAATGCACTTTGTCAGGTCCAGGTGATGATCCTTTTGTTTGTGCTATTACTTCTTCTAATTCCTTCATTGTTATGTTATCGTTATATGCTTCGTTTGTTGTGTCTTCAGTAATTGTTTCATTTGTGGTTGATTGTTCTTTAAGATTTTTGAGATTAGTGTTTAAGTTTTCATCGCTATAGATGTACTCGAACGTATCTTTAATAGTGTTTGCTATTTCTATTTGATTTGTTGTGTATGTACCGTCTTGTTTGTTAATTTTTCTTATTTCTGTATTCTTACTTTTTCCGCTTAATGTTCGCACTTTGTCGTAGATTTCTTTTGTGTTAGCTTTGTGATTTAGTGTAGATGTGTACTGTCTCCAGCTTTCTGTTTTAGCGTTATTTATCATTTGGCGTATTTCTATTGTTAGCTCTGTAATTTTATTGCGTATTTCTGGATTTAAAGTGTTCTTATATATTCTTGTATTCTTTTTTCGTTCAATTATTTTTTGTTTGATGTCGTCATTCCAGAAAGGCAATTTTCTTTTGCCTTTAAATGTTTTTATATATGGGATTGACTTATTTGCTGCGTTTATTATTCTTTGTGTATAGTCTCTTTCCATGTTATTTATATTTGATGTATCGATGTTGTCGAAGTTAAGGTTCTTTTTGAATTCGTTCCAATCAGCTTTTTTGATGTTGAATAATTGTCTTTGTGTCTTTTCGTATTGTGTGAATGGGAAGGAAATCAGAAGCGGAAAATGGTCACTTCCATGTAGATCGTCAAGTACTGTCCAATCTGTGAAAGTAGCTAAATTTTGTGTGCATATTGTTAAGTCAATGGATGTTAGTCTACCGTTAGTGGCAATATGTGTAGGGAGTTTTTCGTTTAGTATTGTCAATGAGTGTAGTTCTGCTAATTCTGTAATTATAGTTCCTCTTCTGTCTGTTTTATGTGAACCCCATAATACGTTATGCGCATTAAAGTCACCTGTCAATATATATGAATGTCCTAATTGTGTAATTAGATTTTCAAGTTCGTCTTTTAATGTTTGTGTAGGTATATTATGGTCTATGTAAATGTTACAAATAACAAAATCGAATGGATATGTTACGTGAACGGCTATAGCTTGTAAATTTGTGTTAATGTGAAAAAGAGAGGATTGTATATTCAAATTAACTAGTGTCATAACACCTCCACAAGCATAATTGTCCTGTGTACATGTCTTATTTTTAATATATGTTTTGTAATTATTTAATTGTGTGTCAATATTTAATTTAGTTTCTTGTAAAGTAATGTAAAGTGGTTGAAATTCATTAATAAGTACTTGCAGTTCGGATTTATTTGTAAAAAAGCCTCTAATGTTCCAATTTAAAATTGATGTTGTGTTATTCATTATGTTATCATTTCTTCGTCTTCATCTTCGTCTCCGCTTTTAGCATCTGTGTTGTTGATTCGGGATTTTTTGTGTGTCTCTTCATCAGTTGATTGTTCTTGAGGATTATAGTTGATTTGTCTTAATCGTTTATTTTTGTTAATTAATTGTGGTGTTTCTTTAATGTTATTTACTGGTGGTGTTTGCTTTATGTTATTTATTTGTGGAGTTGTTTTGTTGTTGTGGTAATTGCAGTGCTTGCAACTGCAGATTGTTTCGATTTGTGTTGATGTAATTTTTGCGTACGTTATTCTGTTAAGATTGGACCGTTTAACTGCTTCGGCCATCGAAACATTTTGTGTTACTCTGATAGTCTGGATGTCTACTTGTCGTTTGTACTCTGTACAATTTCTGTTGTAGCTATTATGACCAGTTTCTTTGCAGTTTACACAAAAAGCTTCCTTTGTGCATTTTTCATCTCTGTTTTGGATATGTTTGTTGCTGTTGCAGTTGTAGCATGTTGGAGATTCTTTTATGTTACAATATTTTGAAAGATGTCCAAACTTATGGCAAGCAAAGCATCTCATCGGAGTGGGAATATAAGGCCTGACGCGCACTCGCAACAGTCCGACCGTCAGATATTCCGGCAAATTGCTCACTCCAAAGGTGACAAAGACTAAACCAGTGTTGATTGTTTTACCGTTGATTGTCTTTTTGTGCATTCTTACGTCTATTACTTGTTGTGATTTTAAATAATCTGATAGCGTTTGTTCGTCTTCGTTTTGTAATTCGTATGCACGAATCACGCCCTTACAACTATTCATCGTTTTGTGTTCTGTAACCTGTATTTTTGCGTCTAGGATGCCTGTTATTCGTATTAGGTTTTGTGCTTGTCTCAAGTTTTCTGTTTTTATCAATAAATCTCCACTTTTTAGGACTTTACAATCCAACTTTCCATTTTGTGTTGCATTGTGTATAGCTTTCTCCAATAATATTGGAGAAAAATCCTTCATTGTTTTGTTTTCGTGGTCTCTGTGCATAATCAAATATTTTTCTCCTTCTGTGTTATTTGTTAATTTTATTGTTGAGTCATACCTGATGTTTGAATGATTGTTGATATTTATTTGCTGTGATTGACTTGGGAAAAGTTGTTCCTTTTTATCAGCTATTAACTTGTCCTGTAATTTCTGGAGCTGATTTGCTGGCAGTTTTGCTGTGCTTTTATTGTTTTTTGTCTGAACCATTGTAAGAGATCCGGCAAAGCCGGGACTTGTCACTTTTTCGTCACAAATTTTTTGTTTTTCCTGCTTTTTCGGTTATTTATGAATGTAATCACTATAATTTTATTCAATTTGCGTAATTAATGTATTCTTTAGTACTTTGTGTAGATTTGTTCTGTCTTATTATTGTTATTTATACTCAAATTTTTAATTTTGTAAGATTTTTGTTGTGCTTAGTCCAAGGGGCAAAGAACTTTTTTTCCACTTCACAAATTATTTTTGAAAATATTTCAATTTTCAAAATGTGTTTCAGAACGGTACAAATTATTTTTAATGTCAAAACTTCACAAATTATTTTTGAAAACCTTTCAATTTTCAAAATGTGTTTCAGAACAGTACAAATGATTTTTAAAGTCAAAACTTCACAAATTATTTTTGAAAATATTTCAATTTTCAAAATGTGTTTCAGAACGGTACAAATTACTTCTTCTTCTTAATTATCTTTATTAAGGTCCTTTTTAATAAATTTTAAGACCATTTTCAATTCCAAATATGTTTTACATTATTTTAAATTTATAAATACGAACTGCAGTACAGGATATTATGTGTTTTGGTGTTAGATTTTGTCGTAAATATTAATTTCTTTTAGAAAGTTTAAAATTTTGTCTGTTTCATCTTTTTCGTCTACTTCAAGTGTTTTGTAACTGATATTAAATTTTGAAATAGCTGATTGGTTGTTTGTGCATTCAAATATATGTCTGACTGTAAGTGGGATGGTGCATGTGCATATTGGGGGAGAAGTTTTTTCAATAAGATGTATATGTGTTAGATTTGTGTGTCCAATTCTAAGTCTTGTCAGTACTGTCTGGTCTTTTCTTTTATATGTGTCAATATTTGTCCATTTCTTACATGTTTTTTTGATGTTTCCTAATTTATTTCCGTTTCTGATTTCCTCATTCCATTCTTCTTGCCAAAGTTTTGTGACATGCTCTTTTACATGTTTTGTAACGTCTTCAATCAATATTTTATAGTACGGTACAAATTATTTTTAATGTCAAAACTTCACAAATTATTTTTGAAAACCTTTCAATTTTCAAAATGTGTTTCAGAACAGTACAAATGATTTTTAAAGTCAAAACTTCACAAATTCTTTTTGAAAACCTTTCAATTTTCAAAATGTGTTTCAGAACAGTACAAATGATTTTTAATGTCAAAACTTCACAAATTATTTTTGAAAATATTTCAATTTTCAAAATGTGTTTCAGAACGTTACAAATTATTTTCAATGTCAAAACTTCACAAATTATTTTTGAAAACCTTTCAATTTTCAAAATGTGTTTCAGAACGGTACAAATTATTTTTAATGTCAAAACTTCACAAATTATTTTTGAAAATATTTCAATTTTCAAAATGTGTTTCAGAACGGTACAAATTATTTTTAATGTCAAAATTTCACAAATTCTTTTTGAAAATATTTCAATTTTCAAAATGTGTTTCAGAACGGTACAAATTATTTTTAATGTCAAAACTTCACAAATTCTTTTTGAAAACCTTTCAATTTTCAAAATGTGTTTAGGAACAGTACAAATGATTTTTAATGTCAAAACTTCACAAATTATTTTTGAAAACCTTTCAATTTTCAAAATGTGTTTCAGAACAGTACAAATGATTTTTAAAGTCAAAACTTCACAAATTATTTTTGAAAATATTTCAATTTTCAAAATGTGTTTCAGAACGGTACAAATTATTTTTAATGTCAAAACTTCACAAATTATTTTTGAAAACCTTTCAATTTTCAAAATGTGTTTCAGAACAGTACAAATGATTTTTAAAGTCAAAACTTCACAAATTATTTTTGAAAACCTTTCAATTTTCAAAATGTGTTTCAGAACAGTACAAATGATTTTTAAAGTCAAAACTTCACAAATTCTTTTTGAAAACCTTTCAATTTTCAAAATGTGTTTCAGAACAGTACAAATTATTTTTAATGTCAAAACTTCACAATTTCTTTCTGAAAGAAGAATTTCAATTCCAGCTTTAAAACATTTATAATGTTTTAATTCTCATTTAACCTTAAAATAATATTCAAAATCAGTTTTAAAGATCTGAAAAGGAAAATTGTGAAATAAAAAGCCATAAGGAAGTGCATTGAACAGAAAATTCCCCGCCAGAGCAACAGAAAAATTGTACGTCTATAAACATCTCGATCACATGTTTCTTCCCGACGTCATGTTTCAATACTTTTTGTAAAATTTTCCTGAAAATTCTCCACAGCAGCAATAAATGCACATAAAAATTTATTTTTTGTCATTCTCTTAACTTTATTATGCCCCATTCATTCATAAATCATTTTACATCTACAATTTCATCCTCAATGAAGATAGAATAGAAAGATAATCATAATTTCCATTTAATGTACTCAAAAGTAAGTCAGAAATTAAATTAAAAATATTATTTTGTCATCTAAATTATCATGTCTGTTATGCACGACTTTTATTACTATTATTTGTTTTTCATTTCGCGCGCATCTTGCAAACATAGAATAAAGAGTAAATATATAATGAAAAATGGGCAAATATTATTTACAGGTTTGATGTAATTAATAATAATATTAATAATGTTTAAACTTATGGGACAAGAAAAATAGAATTGCATACGAGCATAAAACAGACTTTATGCCATAATTAGTCAGTTTTTATTTTCTTACAAAAGAGAATTTCTATCGATATCTTAGTTTGTCACTATCATTAAACACTACATACTCGTAAAATAATCAAAAAAAAAAATCATAAATAATTGTAGAACATAAACTTGTTTTTTTGTTTTGTTGCTTGTTTTAAGAAAAATATATAAAAAAATCATAAAATTCTTCATTACTCTCGAAATTGAAGAACTCTCCAGCATATTTTTTTGTAAATAATTGTTGTTTTTAAGTTTCACGTTCTCTTATAATTGAAATTTGTTTTCAACTTAGCTTAGTTATATATAGAAAGGATTCTTCTTACATTTTACTTATTTTTTTTTCTCTCCCGTCTTCATCTTCTTTCTTTTCATAAAATACCACTGTGTTGCAATAATTTTTATATCTCTGTTTTTGAAAAATATAATTAATTAATTTTTTTTTTGATGTTGCTGTTTGATTGCTAATCATTATTGAGAAAAATCCATTAACACAACTTTGTCAATTTCTTTAATAATTATTCTGCATTTCCTGAATCCTCACCATCACCATTCTGTGATTCCGATTCAGACTCACTGCACTCGTCGTCAAAATCATCATAAAAGTCTGTCATGTCGAGCTGTGAATGGAGAAAATGGAAAATTAATTTTATAAAACTTTGAGTAAATATTTCCTTAATTATTTTTTTTTGTAGGATGCCAACTTTCTTATTCTTTTGAATTGATGGCTATTTTTAATGGCTTGAACAGTTGTGTTTTACATTTCTGAGTCGTCAAAAGTTTTAAATTTATTAATAAAATTGCTGCTAATTTGTAATGAATTATTGATCTTTATCTAGCTGATTTGTAACAAATTGATGAATTTATAATAATGTGAATTGATGAATTCAAAGACTGGCAGTGAACATAATTATAAGTTTTGGTACAAAAATAACAAAATACGTTAGGTCAAAAATTTAAAAAAATCAAGTTCAAAAATTTTGATCAATTTTTAAAAATAAATTGACGGTTATTTTTAAGATATGATTTTAACCGTTACTCTTTCGACACGTGGTTTTAGTTATTCATCAGTTTTGTGATCAATTTGGAAATAATTTGCAAAGAAATACAATAAAGGGTCTTAAAATGAATCTAGTTCATTTCATTTCTACACATATGAAATAATAACTAATCATTTCAATCAATAATTTTAAGCAATAGCTCAATTAACTGTTTTCAAGGCCTATGCATTGCTTTATTACATTATTTGATGATGATGGGCTTCTATTGTTGCGCTAAGTTGAGCAATAAGCTTCCGTAAAGCACACATTTACTATTTAAGGTTGCCGTTTTGCTCAATTTGGACATGTATAATTTTCACTGCATGATCAAATTAAAAGCTTTAAATGCACAATCATCTCAACCAGAGTTGTTGAAATTTGAGCTCATTTAAAAAACATTTAAAAGATTTTAAAGGCGATTATGTTTTAAAGCATTGCTAAACGAAGCTAACAACTCTGGCTTCAGACCATAAAAAAATCAGATGAAACCACTTGAAAATCAAACATTTTTCAATCATTTCGATGCTCTACTTTGTTACACTTTCCATTTATATAGTCATTAGACCTTTTTTTTTCACGAATAAACAATTCATCACAATGCGCAATTCGTTTCATTTCATTCGCCGATAAATAAGAGGAGAAAAAAAGAAAATCTATTCATATATAGCCATCCCTTGAATTCAAATATTGACTATACTCATTACTCACTTGAGGTTCTTGATTATTTGGATTTGTTTTAGGTTTAAGACAATATTCCTCTAGAGTAAGTGGGACGACAATTCCTTCTTTTTCAGCTTCTACTTTTGCTTGAAGTGCTTGTTTCCTATAAGAAGATTAAATAAATAAACAAAACAAAATTATTATGTGATGCAATTTATATTGAACGATAGCCAAACTTGAGAGAAAATAATTCTAATTTAGTTTAAAATTCAAGTCATCGTGAACTATAATTCACCTGATTATGTTAGGATATTCATTATCACGGCCATTTGAGTCACGCCATCGTCTGTACATAACACTTGCATCAACATTCGCAGGTGAAAATGTATTCGGTTCATTGAGCAAAGAGATAACTGAGAGTAGGATTGTGCGAACATTTTGAGTTGGATTCCATCGTTCGCAAGGTAATTCGCCGCTTTAAAATTAAAAATAATAATATATTGTAATTGATTAAATTCACAAAGGAATTGTTCATTCATGACATCCAAACTTAAGTAACTGTTGTGAACGTCATTTGTGAATCAATCCCAAAGGTGAGATGTAATTGTCTTTGTTTGCGTTAATTAAGGCAATTTAACATCTCGAATGGTGAGGTCCAATTACCTTTGAGGGTCGTCAATTGGCGGATGTAAAATAGAAATGCATAAGTCACCATTCTCATAAACATTCGGGTGCCAAACTTTTGTGATGAATCGAATTGTTGGTGGTGAATAAGGGTAATCTTGTGGAAATTTCATTATTGCCTAGAAATGGAAATGAATGCATTGATTATTGTTATTTATCGATTTCAATCGAGCACGTTTTTTTTTTGAATATGAGGATTTTCCATCCAGACTACATATGTTTGTTCGTTCCGTAAAATGTGACAGAAATAAGGCATGAGAAAATGACAAGTTTTTACATATTACGGCAAATCATTGTGTCCATATATTTATATATATATATATAAACAAAATGAGAGGTAGCGATGTATTTAAGTAACTGTGAAACAAAGACTGTCCTTTTATAAAATAGATAAAGGTCATTGTCATCGTCACAAACAAAAAACGCAGCACACTTTTCAGAGAGAGTATTCAATGTGCCGTATTTATTATTAGTTTTGTCGATTTTACGTATATTTACTCTTATATTAAAAGAAAGCTTGCGTCGTATTAAAGAAAAGGAGAAGAAACAAAAAATCAAAACTTATGATCGAAATAAACAATGTTCATATAATACACAAAAAAATTGTATGTCTTTGCGTCGCGTAGACCTTGAAAATTTAGCGTTTTCATATCTCATTGCAAAATACTCAATTCTTTCGTTCATTTTTTTGCCTCGTTACGTGTTTGTCCATTATTATTTATAATGGAAATGATAAAAAATAATAATAATAATATCCAAAAATGTTTAAAAACTAGAAATGAGGTTGTTTGTCTATTTGAAATGGAACTTTTATGCAACGCACATTTCCTGTAAATCGAGATTAAATGCTTTGGATAGTTCGCCATTCAATAGGGCTTAAACATTTTCATTGGTCTAATTTTGATTCTTTAACTTTTATAACAATTTGTCACTTTTAGCTTGCCTTACACGACACACTATTCGTCTACAAACTGGAGATAATAGTCCGAGTGATATGTATACATAAAACATCTGATTTTGATGAAAATGTCATCATTAATAATGCAATAGATTTCACAATCGTTTACCTTAAAATAGCCACCTTGATAAAGAGTTTCGGGAGGTCCGAAAATACCGACCTGAAATTGATGGAAATAAAAAAAAAATTAAAATTAATTAATTATTTACCACCCTATTTTTGTTTTGTATATAAGGTGAGTGATTAAGCACAAAGAAGTCTTTAAATATGAACGAAATTCACATGAAGAGACAATGACGTTTAAAGGCACTGAATATTGATGAATCATGGATTTTTTTCAGATCCATTGATTGTATTGATGAAAGGATGAAGAAGATGATTAGTTTTTTGGTGCTGGAATATATTCCTTAGAAAAACCCATAAATAAAATATATTACTTACACTCCACTCAAACATATTATCATCATTTAATAATTTTACTCGAAATCCTTCCACTGGTTCTTCCTGTAAGTTAAAAATAATAGGTTATATCATTAGTTACAGTGAAAATAGCACAGTAAATACAGTTTTTGACTCAAATAAGGAAAGTTTCAGCTGTAAGTTGAGTCTTTATTTTGAAAAAAAAATGAAGGTGAAAATCTTATTATTTTTATTTACCTGAAGTGACTTATATTCTAAAGCGAGAGCTCTCAATGCTGATGAATTCATATTGCGTTTTGAATTGTGGATTAATTAGACCACAGTTGAAGATCCTTTTCGATAAATTTTAAATCCAATTAAAGATTTTTAAAATTTTCTTTGAAAATCAATTTTTTTGTATCAATTTCTCGTATTTCCACTTTTGTGGACGACTTCCTTTGACAATTTCACACTCCTTTAACGTTTTTAAGATATTTACGCGGTACAGCGAGCTTGTAAATATAAAGTAAATCGTGAAAATAAAATAAAATGATCTTATGAATATAAATTCTTTAGACTATTTATTTGCATCTTTTATAAACGCTTTTATTCCACTTACCTTCCTTCTGTTTTACGCTTTAAAATAGACTAATTTACTAGTATACTGATAAACGTGTATTTTATATAAAATAAATTGAAATAAATAGAGAAACTTTTAATTGTTGTTGCTTTGTCGAGAAAATCTCACCGAATTTGAAAATTTAACGATGTTTGATCAAAAAATTTGAAAATTTGAATCAAAATTTTTGAAAAACTTTGACAGTTTTGAATTTAAAGATTTCGGTTTAACTCCTTTTATAATTAATTAAACTAGCAAGTAAATACACAGAAATATTCACAATTTATAATGTCATTAATTCTCCTTAATCCGACCCTGGAAATCATTCGAAACTTTTGCATCTATTTGAGGGGTATTCCATACAAACAAGTTAAACGACCCATTCTGCAACAAAAATTAAAATAAAATAAAATCAAATTAAAATGGTAAATCAAGCTAGTTTTAACTTAATTATAGTATATTCCAAGTGTTTTAAAAGTCATTTAAGTAATCCAATTGATTGAATAGTGAAGGCTTTCGTAAATATCGTGAAAAAATGTTTTATTATTTTCATGTGCGGAATTCTTCGAGAACACAAGACTCATTTTAATAAAACATCAAGTCTTATGACTCATTAATGCTATAATTTTTCAATTTTTTCACAAATCCAGCATGTTAAGACCCAATAATTTGCTAATGATGTTAAACCAATCAAATACATTAAGCAGTTTGCATATTTGTGAAAATTTATGGTTATAATGAAGTTTCATGTCTTTTTAGGTATCATTAAATCCAGTTCGTATTCTTAAGAATGAAGCCGAGGAGGAGAAGGCAGAATTGGCTCGTTTATCATCGTTTGTTGGTGCAATTGCTATTGGAGATTTAGTAAAGAGTACACTAGGTCCAAAAGGAATGGATAAAATTTTAGTATCTTATGGACGAAGTGCTGGAAGCGTTGAAGTCACAAATGATGGAGCAACAATTTTAAAATCCGTTGGTGTTGATAATCCAGCTGCAAAGATTTTAGTTGATATGTCAAAAGTACAGGATGATGAAGTTGGTGATGGTACAACTTCAGTTACTGTATTAGCTTCAGAACTATTGAGAGAAGCTGAAAAGCTTGTTGAGCTTAAAATTCATCCACAAACAATTATTGCTGGATGGAGACGTGCTGCTGATGTTGCACGCGAAGCTCTTACCAAATCAGCACAAGATCATTCAGGTGATAGTGAAAAATTCAAGGAAGATTTAATGAACATTGCACGAACAACTTTAAGTTCTAAGATTTTATCTCAGCACAAAGAGCTCTTTTCCAAATTGGCAGTTGATGCTGTCTTACGTCTTAAAGGCTCTGGTGAATTGACAGCAATTCAATTGATTAAGAAATCAGGTGGAACCTTAGAAGATTCATTCCTTGATGAAGGATTCTTACTTGATAAACGTCCTGGAGTTCATCAGCCGAAAAGAATTGAGAATGCAAAGATTTTAATTGCTAATACACCAATGGATACCGATAAGATTAAAGTATTTGGATCTCATATTAAAGTTGATTCGATGTCAAAAATTGCAGATCTCGAAATGGCCGAGAAGGAAAAGATGAAAGACAAAGTCAACAAGATTTTAAATCATAAATGTAATGTTTTTATTAATCGTCAGTTGATTTATAATTATCCTGAACAACTTTTTGCTGATGCTGGAGTTATGGCCATTGAACATGCTGATTTTGATGGAATTGAACGATTAGCATTAGTAACTGGGGGAGAAATTGTCTCCACATTTGATAATCCAGAATTGGTTAAAATGGGAACTTGTGAGCTTATTGAACAAGTCATGATTGGTGAAGATACTCTTTTGAGATTCAGTGGCGTTAAATTAGGTGAAGCATGTACAATTATTATTCGTGGTGCTACACAACAAATTGTCGATGAAGCTGAACGATCATTACATGATGCTCTTTGTGTATTGACAGCAACTGTCAAAGAATCACGTGTTGTTTATGGCGGTGGATGTTCTGAATCATTAATGGCATGTGCTGTTCTCAAGAAAGCCAGCGAAACTCCTGGTAAGGAGGCAATTGCAATGGAAGCTTTTGCTCGCGCTTTATTCCAACTTCCAACTGTCATTGCTGATAATGCTGGTTATGATTCTGCACAGCTTGTTTCTGAATTGAGAGCTGCACACACTCAAGGAACCTGCTCAATGGGTCTCAATATGGATGCTGGACGAGTTGGATGCATGAAGGAGCTCGGAATTACCGAATCATTTGCTGTAAAACGTCAAGTTTTATTATCTGCAAGTGAAGCTGCTGAAATGATCCTTCGTGTTGATAATATCATCAGATGTGCACCACGAAAACGTACTCGTGATAATCGTCCATGCTAAACAGCTTATCTTTTATTAATTGCCTTAATCATCATGCTGCATTAATTTTTTTTTTCTCTTCCTCGCTACTCCTACACATTATTTTGCACTTAATTTTACCAGTTTGTGTTGATTATAAAAAACGAATAACTGTAACACAGTAATTAATCACATTTCTAATTTAAAAAATAATAAAAGATACTTTTTGCATTAACTTGAAATTTTATCAAAAGGATTAATGTTTTATTTTTGAGAGTTTATTGGATTTTCAGGTTTATCAAATAAATCGTAGGATTTAAAAAGCATATGGAAAGTATCTATTTCATGAGCTATTTATGTTTAACAAGCATTATATGAAACCTTGAAATCATTTAACCTTCTACTTTTAATGTTTTGATCTTTTCAAACAACTCAAAAATTAACCGTTTAAAAATATTCAAAATCTCTACATTGCGAGATTTGAGGCATGTGACAAAAGCTCACGTTTTAGAAAAGACCGAAAGTTTGTTTTTTGAATGAAATATCGAATGACTAGTCATTAAATTTGATTAAAATTGATCAACACTTAATTAGCGTCTTATTCAATATAAATCCTCAGTTAAAATATTGTCCAGAGATGAAATATGAAAATGTCAATAAAGAATTTATTTTTCCCAGCTTTTGAGCAAGTTCTAGTATTGTGATACAGCATAAATTGAAATAATTAATTTTAAAGTCTAAAACCAAGGAACCAATCATAATAGAGTGAATCAAACTAGTTAAAAAGTGATGTTAAGTTATAAAATTGTGAAAAACAGTGATACAGAGCAAAAAATGTGAATAGAAAGGAAGTTTATTTGCTGTCCCAAAATACAGGTAGTCACCATTCGACATTCAGATGACATTAGAACTGAAAATTTTCGCTACCTTTTAATTTTCATAAGATTATTTTTGGTTTTTATTTGTAGTAATTTGTGCTAATTAGAAAACGTATATCATGTATATTAAGGTCTAACCTACTCGAATTATGAAAGTGAGAAAATATTAAAGGATAATAGCGAAATTTATGTGAAAAACTAAGAAATAAATTGCGTATTAATAAAATAAAGAAAAGTTAAATAAAAAGTAAGAATCTAAGTACATCCAAAATGCGTTCAAGATCAAATTCTGGTGTTCGACTGGATTATTACCAGCGAATAGTCCATCGTCTTATAATGACACATCAACAGCCTGTAACAGGATTGTTTCCAGCTAGTCCTGCAAATCATCATGCTTGGGTAACATAAAAAAAAATAGAAGAAGAACTTTGACATTAATCTTCAAGGTCTGAATAATCATTTTAAATTAATTTGTTTCTCTTTTCAACTCGCTCATACAGATTCGAGATAATGTCTATTGTATTTTGGCTGTCTGGGGTCTATCGATGGCATATAAGAAAATTGCTGATCAAGATGAGGACAGAGCAAAGGCTTATGAATTAGAACAAAGTTGTGTCAAATTAATGCGTGGCCTATTAATGGCAATGATGAGACAAAAGGAGAAAGTTGAACGATTTAAAATTACACAAAATCCATTAGACTCATTGCATGCTAAATATTCAAGCAAAAATGGACAGGTCGTTGTACGTGATGATGAATGGGGTCATTTACAGATAGACGCAATTTCATTGTATCTTTTAATTCTCGCACAAATGACTGCGTCAGGATTGCAGATTGTTTTCTCCCTCGATGAAGTGTCATTCATCCAAAATCTTGTATTTTACATTGAAAGTGCATACTGTATTCCAGATTATGGTATTTGGGAGAGAGGGGATAAATCCAATCATGGACAGCCTGAATTAAATGCTAGTTCTATTGGTATGGCAAAAGCAGCACTTGAAGCTATGAATGAATTAGATTTATTTGGTGCTCGTGGTGGTCCAGCTTCTGTTATTCATGTTTTAGCCGATGAAGCTCACAAGTGTCAAGCTGTTTTACAATCAATGCTACCTCGTGAATCTAACAGTAAGGAATTAGATTCTGGATTGCTTTCAATCATTGGTTTTCCTGCTTTTGCTGTCGACGATCCACAATTAATTGAGGAGACACGAGACGCAATTGTTCAACGTCTCCAAGGTCGATATGGCTGTAAAAGATTTTTACGTGACGGATATAAAACTCCGAGAGAAGATTGTTCACGATTATACTATGAACGTTGGGAACTACGTATGTTTGAGAATATTGAGTGTGAATGGCCACTCTTCTTTTGTTATCTAATCCTCAATCATGCATTTCATGGTGACAAAAACAGCGTCTCTGATTATGTTGCAAAATTAGAGGATATTATGGTAAAAACCGAAGAAGGCATGAAACTTGTTCCTGAACTCTACACAGTTCCTCACGATAGTGTCAACAATGAATATAAACATCCTGGATCCAGTCAGAGACAACCAATCGGAAGGGTAACTCAATAATTCATTATTTATTCTTAATGGATTTATTTGAATTTTTTTAAAAACTTGTAGACACCATTTTTATGGGCTCAATCGCTCTATATTTTGGGAAAACTGCTTCAAGAAGGATTTCTCGCAGTTGGAGAACTTGATCCACTGAATAGACGTCTCGGTGCACAAAAGAAACCTGATGTAAGCATCTCAAAACTTTTAAGAAACAAATTAATCAATAATATTAAATCCTGTATTGATTAGGTTGTCGTTCAAGTCGTCATATTGGCAGAAGATGATGAAATTCGTAATAAACTTGCTGATCATGGATTTACCGTCCAAACAGTTTCAGAAGTTGCACCAATAGAAGTTCAACCAGCACGTGTGTTGAGTCATCTTTACACCTATTTAGGACGCAATAAAAAACTTGGATTGACTGGTCGTAAATCAAGAGATGTTGGTATATTAAGTACCAGTAAATTGTATTCATTAAAGGACAGGATTTTCGCATTCACACCGCAAGTAAATAACGAAAAAATATATATATATATATATATGAAAATGAACAAAATAATTAGAAAAGTTTCAGATTATGGATGAAACTAATATCTCTTCATATATGCTAGTTCACTGAGTACATCAATGAATTGGACATAGAAGAGAAAAGTCCATAAAATGGAACGAATGATGTACAAACTTTTGGACGAAGTCACGTTTCGGATAGAGCAACTGAAAGACAGTGTGAGGGAAAAATAAATGAAGTCAAAAAAAAAGGAAAAGATAGAAAAAAAAAGTTTTCAGAATTCCAAAATATAAATTGATGATACTCATAAAGCTTCTTAATTTATCATCAAGGAAGTTTAATGTTTTGACTGGTGCAGTATTCTATCGTAAAATTATGACGCTATATGTAGATAGATGATAAAGTTGCTTATTTCGGAACGTGACATCATCTACAAAGTGAATTTCAATTTATTTTTATGATTGCTATTCATCATGAGATCGCTTCTTCTTCCTACGTAACATTGCATTTCTTTCATTTTAACTGGTTAATAATTTCTTTTAACCATTAATTATACAGTCATGTCTTTTCAATGGAAGTGATCTCGTTACCTTTAAAGTGTATATTCGAATGATGGTGATTAGAGCGCATTTTTGTCGTGCATTGATATTTTGAACTTGACTCAACGAATTTTTAAAATTTAAACTTTAACGGACTTTTGATATTCAAATTTAAAGTTCAAAATTTTAAAAATGAGAAATTCCGTTATAAATTTGAACTTTACATTAAATCATCTATATAACATGTTCATGCATGATTACTCATCTTCTTTTAATACTGGAATAGCCCATTAATTTCTCAAAATTTTAATTTCTACCAAAATGATTCATCAATGTACGGCAAAAATGTGATGCAAAATTGATTCATGTTTTATTAATTGAACATGACGTTAATTTAATTAACCAAGCGACAATTTAGAAATATGATTAGCAAATCAAATTAATAATGAAAGATTTATTATTGAAAAAAGGAACCAATATAATACAATAATAAATCAACAACAATATTTTATAGTTTTCCGATTTAACAAGGTTTTATATAGCATCCGATAACGAATTGATGATTGACATTTTAAAAGGGGAAATCAGTTTTCTAAAGTCCGCTTGGCAGAACCTGCTCGGCAGACCACTAATTACGCTGGTATTGAAAGATATTCAATTAGGTTAGCATCAAATTTATTGAAATTTAATTTAATTCTATTTTATTATCATTTTTGACTCTCCGCTTATGCTTTCATTACTTTATTTCATTTCCACTTTTCGTCACGAGATGTCGGAAAATTGAAATGAAAAACTTGATGAAATTGAGCATCTTAATTAGTAGACATACAAAGAGTTTCATTAAGTAAATTTCTTCGTACAAAAAATTTTCACTAGTCAAGGCATAAAAATTGTATATTCTAACGAAGGTATTATTCGCTAATTGATAATCAAATCAACCCTGAAGAAAATTCATCTCCATATGTGACATCTCTCATCCCCAAAAAAAAAAACAATGGAATGTGATAGTCGCGTGATTATTCACAAAGCCTTTCGTAAATTCATGAATTACTTTTCTTTACCTTTTGTTATTCGATTGCTTCTTGACTGACTGATGCTTTCAAGCGTGCTGTCACTTCTTAACAACAAGAATAAATGAAATTACAGGAAGAAAAGAACTTTATTTGTGAACAATCAATATGGCAAACGCAATTTGTGACACTTAGTTGGCTTGCCAGTTTGTGAGAAAAAATAGCATGTCAAATTCACTTAACATTTCCATTCAAAATGAAGCAGAGAACCTTCAATGGATTCACATTTCTTCTTGTGTTGATGTTGTTTGTATAAATAAATACAATAATATATACACAACATTTCTTCCTTTATGCCTTACTACCACCTCCCTAAAAACTTTAACATTATATTATTATATTGAATAAAATCCCGTGCTCCATTAAATATGGAATTATTCATGAAATTACCACCTTAAACGAATCCAATTTTACCATCAACAGAAAATTCATGAATTTCAAGGCATTCCTTATGTCTTCTTGCTTCTTCTTGCTCCCCCCACACTCACTCACTTTCTCGAAATTCAACAAAAAAAGATGAAAATTTTTGTACATAAGAAAGGAAAGATGAAAAAAATCACAGCTTAGGTCATTGAATGAAATTAAAACAGGGAAAAAAAGTTTTCTTTGAAATGCAAAATTAATTTCATTCATTGAGATGAAAAACTTCCCTCCTTCATTGTCTCAACATTCTTTTTATTATAGTTTTAATATTTTTTTTTGTTCTTTAATTTGAATTGCATGCGAAAGACAAACTATATTGATATTAATTTTTTTTTTAACTTAAGACGTGAAAAATTATTTCTCTTTAAAAAATTATGAAACATTTGCTTATCATTGAGACATAGCTGATTGGATGAGTTTGGATCTGAAATTTTATAAATGCCAAGAAAATTATAGTTTTTGGTGGACTCTGCTAAGGTTTCCAAAGCTAATCTATTCATTCTAAATTAGAAACCAAAATGAATGAAAAATTTTGTGTGAATATGAAATCTGTGATGAAAAACATCATTTTTTTTGATGATATGATTTTTTTCATCTACGTAAATTATTACGTAAAATTTCATCACGTAAGAATCATTTTTACGCAGGATTTTATCACGTTAAGCAAAAAATGCAATAAAATCACACCAAAAGAATTAATAATGTTAAATAATAAGAACAAGAGATAGAATAGATTAGTTTTGCTTAAAAAACTTGCATAAAAACATTTCATACGTCATTTTTTGCTTTACGTGATGAAATGCTACGTAAAAATGATTCTTACGTGATGAAACTTTACGTAATAATTTATGTAAATGAAAAAAATCATAATGTTTTTTATCATCAAAAATAATGATGTTTTTCATCACAGATTTTTTTCATTTATTTTGGTCCCTGATTCTAATAAGCCAAAGAACCTCATTATTCGGATTTTTAAAAGCTTGTGTTCGAAAATGATTCGTTTGCACTTTTGTATGAAATATTGGCTTTATGCTTTGTTTCAAATAACTCATAAACAATTAAAGCTGTTTAGAACCAATTCTTTTGGAGTAACAAAAATCATTAAAAAGGTAAAAATTGCGAATACTTAAATTCGAACGATTATCAGAAACTAGGGTTTCTGAAAAACGGCATTTTTAAAAAACGGCCGTTTCCGTTTTTTTCCAAAAAACGGCCGTTAACGGGTCCGTTTTTTTAATTCTACCGAAATTGTGTTTTATGCACGGTTTTAGTCACATACTGAAATTGTTGTCAAAAAACGAACTTATTACAGTGTATTGTGTCTAAAAAAACTTTTATTCACACCCTGTTTTTTCGTTATAAGCTACTACTCGTTACTAAGCTACTAGCTTAGTAAAGTTTTTTTGAATTTTAAAATTTTTTGTAATCTTTACTAAGCTACAACCAAAAATAAAGTTTAATTAATCTTTTTCAACTTTCTAAGTATCAGTTTCAATATCTTATGACATTGTCAATGAAATAAAATCGGGAAGATAGCAAAATTTCTTTAATTAAGTTAAAAAATTCAAAAAATTTCATATAAGTTCAATTTCTTTACTAAGCTACTAGTGAGCCAAAAAAATCACTTTTTTATTCTCCTAAGCTATTAGCTAGCTTATAACAAAAAAACAGGATATTTCAAACTTTAAAAATATTTAAACATCAAGTAGTCGTTACAAAACTTAACAACTTAAATTTAATGAGTATGAAAGAATTATTGGAGTTAATATTATTTTATTCTGAACCTAAAATTTTCACGAGCTAGAAAAGAAAAACGGAAAAAACGGCTAGAAAAAAACAGCCGTTTTCCGTTTTTATTTTTCTCTGAAAAACGGCTGTTTTTCCGTTTCCGTTAACGGCTTCAGAAACCCTATCAGAAACAATTTATTTTGGTAAACAAAATAACAGAACAATGCCAAAAGCTCTAATTGACTATTATTTGGAGTATCGTTTAAATCTCTCTTAGTTCTACCATCATAACTTATGTTATAATCACAATCTTAGCATTTTGGAATCACTTATTAGTGAAAATCTCCATTTAACAAGCTTTTCATATTTAATCGTGTTGATCAAATCAAGTTTTTATCCAACAAAACAGCAAACTTATATTGAAGACTAGGTTTAATTGAGCTGTATTCTTAATAGAACCCAGAGCCTTAATTGGTGGCTCAGTACTTTAGTGCGCAGAAACTTAAACAATGATTCTGGGATCATACTTAACAGAGCAGTTTTCCTTTCTTCAAAAGGTTTTGTCCACAATTGAAAACTTTCAATACCGAGAATACAAATTCTTAATTTGATTCAACCTTTAAATCTTGAAAGATTCAATGCAAAAAATTTGAGAACATGAATAATCAAGATTCGGCTCCATTTGTCTCTATACTTTTATTTATTTCCTCAAAAAAAATAAGTTCTCGCATTTCAATATAAGAAATCGAATATCCTCAAACTTATCATATTACGAATAATAAATTTCAATCTAAAAACATTCAATCTTCCTTAATGGATAAGCAATATCTCAAAATTCATACTTCAGTGCTTCTTCACATTTTGATGTTATCTGACAAATGTAGAGTTGTTTTCTATTCTAGACGTAAAGGATTCATACTTTTAGCTAGATTAAAATGATTTTTTCACAACACAAGTCACACAGAATCTGACATTTTTAAATCTTATTGTTTTTTGTGTATTTTTATGCATCTTAATTTATTTTTAATAACGGAATGAAAATTTATTTTATTATTTGTAATTGTAGCTAATAATCTTCATAGGTTTATCATATTTTTATAGTTTTTAATCAATAATTGATCTTGTAAAGACGGTTAAGGATTTCAAAACGAATGAAATTGTAGAAAGAATAAGAAATTGAAATTTGCAATATTCAAGTGGAATTGGTGGACTAATTGGTGAATCAATTTTTTAAACAATCATCAAATTAATTGGAAAACTATATTGGACGTCTTATAATATATCTAAATTTTCATCAAAATTATTTTCATATTTCATCAAATTTTAATCATATAAAAATTTTTGCTTATTTTTTTCATTTACAAATTTTTTTATATATATTGTGAATCCCCACAAAACATTCTTAAAATTCAAAATTAAAAGAATATTGATTATGATGAGTACTATACAACACGAGATCCCGACCTTCTTGCGAGTAACTTTACAAACAATCTAGCATTTTTGGCCCAAAGTTGGTCGCACACGTTGGGTAGACCTTTACACGTTTTAACGTTTCACTCATTCTTGTTAGGTAAGCCATCATCACACATCCTTCATCCTAATGTCCTTTATTTTTTAATATAATATAAACACCCTTTATCTTCCTTTATTGATTTTTTTAAACTTTATGACATTTTTTTATGCTGTGAAATTTTTATCGATCAAGGAGCAGAAAAAAAATTTGTTTAGCGCTGATTACATTTTGATGTAATTTGATCTTAGCTGATTATATGTCTAGAATAGAACTGATAGATCTTTAATTTAGCACTTCTTTTAGTATGTTTAACTTATATTATTTTATCAAGAAAAAAGTGTTCAGATTAGAATAGAACTTAATTGGTCATGACTTGTATAGACGACCTGAATCAATCTTCTAATCTTTAAAATTAATTTTCAAAATTTGAATTAAAAATTGAATAAGGCTATGAATAATAATACCAAAAAAATGAAACATGACGTCAATTGTCACGAGTTTTCGCCTTACAGTCAGGGAATAAATTCGATTCGAGAATATTTTTTTTGTAACAAAACAACTATTTGAGTCGAAGACTTCCTGTACATTGATTAATGCTATGTTCGTTCTAATTTGTAGTATCACTTTTTACTTCAGTAACATTTACTGTTGAAATTTAAATTATCGAAGAGGAAGGTTCTTAATTTTAGTCCAATCTATCAAGAATGATGATTTTAATTGACGATTTTGAGATAAGAGCTCGCATCCGAATAAGATAAATCGTGTAGATAATAAGATTCAATTAAGACAGAATCTATTGTGCCACACTCATTGAACCTACAGTTTATAGTGGAATCCGAACCACTCGCAGGTTATGCACATTGCAAAGACACGAAAAGGTCGGAATAAATTTTAAACTCTCAAAAATGCATCAACGCTACCAATTTAAAGAGTTCTAGACATTCTCTAACTGCTTTATGCTAACATACATTAACGATCACAACCGAAAATGCTTTTAAATTCTCCTACAAAACCTTTCTGCTCCTTGTGAAAAATTTATGCGACTTTTAAGCTGAATTTTGCTCGATGAAATTGTGAGAAGACGTACGATTTCTTCGAGTTGATCTAGGTATTCTTAGAACCTTGCCAAACAAAAATAATTCATCAAAATCATGCACACAAAAAATTATTCATACTTTATACACAAACAGAATAAAAAGTATACCCAGCACAATGAGCTTTACTCGGGCTTCTTTAACGTTCCTGTTTTCTGTTTGTTTATTAAAAATAAAAATAAAAGTCTGTGATATTTTTCTAGCTTCTTTTGAAAAAGCTTTGAACTTTATTAATTTCTCTACAATTTTCATTTGTCCAATAAATTTTCCACTTTTTTTGCAAGTATTTCTTTATTTATTTTATTTTATTTAATTGCACAAAAACTGTTTTCTGGTGATACGTAGATGTGACTTAACTTGTGTTTATAAAAAAAAACTCACGATTTAAAAAGCATTTTTGCGACAAAAATAATCATATGTTTATATAGTCATTCAGACCGCTGTGATAAATCACTTTGACGAGGACATTTGTGACACGGAAATTGTTTTCGCAGACAGAATACAATGATGTATTGCAATGGGATGTTAAAAAGTATTAATTAGTATGAAAATTACAAAGCTAGTGACATTTTTAAGCGGGGAAGTTAAATTTTTTGACACAAAATTGTCACTTTACTGCTGAATTGTATCATGGAGCTAAAACTATACAGCATCCTCCTGGATACTCATTAGTCATTTCAGACTTTCTTAGTCGTGTTTTGTATTAATTTAATAAATAAGCCCTAATCAATGATTATCTCTGAAGAATTTATGTTGTTAACAGGATATGCTTCTTGATTTTCCTTGTTTGGACACATATCCTCAATCGTTGCTTGTCTGATCCTTTAATATTAACGATTCATCTCGAGAAATGCTTCGTTGCAAATGACTATATAGACATATGAATGCCTTTAACGTAAAAGTAGTCACCTAATTCTTGAAACTTTATTTTATTGTTTCTCTTTCTAATCCTATTTTAATGTTTGTGTATATAACTTCCTTCTTTTTCGTGTGTAAATAGCTTTTTATTGACATTATCTCTCTTAATTCATTTTATTTTCTGAGTTTTTATTTTTCAATCTTGGTTGAGGACTTTTTTTTTGAGCATGCAAATTTTATTCTTTGTCATTTATCTTTCCTTCATATTCCTTCTTATACATTTATACGATAATTTTTGTCAAATTTAAATCAAAATCCGAATTTCTTAGACAATAATTATTTCTTTACAATTTGATCATAAACTACTCAATATCTTCTTTCTTCATTCATGAACCATGGACACGAAAAAAAAAATCATACAGACAACAATCGTATTCCACTTGCAATGGTACAAACAATGAAGAAATTAAAGTCAGGTTACATCAATGGAACTCGTGTGATGCTTGGAAATTTGGGAGACTTTTTGAACACATCAGCTGTCACGGATTTGAGCTTTTTAGGCAGTCAGGAAGATGGATATCCAGATAGTGAGTTATATAGATGAGAAATAGTTCATTTCATATGATTAGCAGGTTCACGAATAAGTATCATCATTGAACATCCACAGATTATTTGTGGTCATGATTATTCTTTTCTTTCTTTCATGCTTAACATGGAAGTTGATTTTTTGTGAATATTTCTAATTTTATTTTTATTTCAATTACTAACCAAAACCAAAAAATTACCTTTTCTGTTTCCATTTCCTCACCCTCGAACAAAAAACAAAATACACAAAAATGTATAAAATAGAACTGAATCCAGCTGTACAAGCGTACTTGGATGAGCACTTGTTGAGATCAATGTCCCAGAAGAACACATTAGCCGGCATGAGAGGAGGATCTTTGCGTCCACGCAATTTGCGCCGTCGTATGTCTGTAAAAGGAGCGATCAAGAAGACGCGCTCCATAAATGTAGACTGTAAGTATATTCCTTATAGACGTTCGTCGACAACATTATTATTTCAGTACACAGAAACATAATAAACAATGCACAGAAAAAAATATGATTACAGACAATGAACTAATAAGAACATTTCCTATAACAAATCATTCCAAAATATGTACATCCATGTTCTATATCCTTTACCTCTCTGTTCTCTCTCTATGTTTGACTATTTTATATTACTAACCATACAGCGGAAACATTGGGAATGGAAGGTAATGTTACTGAACGTAGATTATCAGTTGCGATAACACCCTTGTGGTTAGATTCCAGTGCTACCTCAACTATTCCACCGCCGACGCCAGGCCCCGATAATCGAGAGGTTACCCCACGTCCTGAAACCTCTGAAGATGGTTTGCCACCAAGTAAAGTCCAAATTCAGACGTCTCAAGATGTTCCACGCATTAATATTCTTCCACGTCATCATCGTGCTGGACTAGCAGAAACGAATTTTGAAAATACAGAAGTTGAAGAACTTCTTGCTATGTTGCGCGAAACTGAGAATCTTGAGGATCAAGGGGACATCTTACAATACTTGGTGGATACACAAGGATTGGACTTTAATACAGGTATATATCATATTCAATTTAAAACACTGTAGAACCTCTTTTTATTTGTTAAATTCTACTCAAATTAATACTTTTGATTTATTTTTAATTTTGAGGCAAACCAAAAAATCGGCTTTTCATTTTTGTTCATTTTTTGGTACAAAAAAAATCTTAATCAATTTTTGATTGGCCAAAATTTTTAATTAATGTTTGATGAGGTTGATTGTTTAGAGGAAATACTTAATATTTCTAGCAATAACATAGTTTAACATTTAAAAGATAGAGAATTGGTTAAGTAAGTGAGTAGTTTGAGTGTCTGTCGAGTTTTTGAGCATTTGATGAGATTTGATACTTAAAATTTTCAAGATTTGACCAAAATTCCAACAACTTTTTAAACTAAATTAAATTCGGCATTCATCTTTTTTTAAATCATGTCTCATCCGATCATGACTTGAAGACACTCCATAAATCTTAAATTTTTATAGCTGGTCAGAGTACGTAGTCAATTATTTAAATTTCAATTATTAATGTAGTTAATTTCGTACAAAAGGTTGTAGGAGCTTACAATTTTTTATGTAGAGGGCATTATTGTGTTGTTAAAGAATTATCTAAAGTGAAGCTTTCAATATTTAAATCTGTTAATGCTTAATACCAAAGCGGTGTTGAACAAACGATTTTAAATCCTATTTATGATACTGAATGTGCAAAAGTCGTTAAATGTGCACGATTATTGTTGTACAAAGTCATTCAATTTGCTTTATTATTTGCTTTAAACATTCAATTGCTTTAGGATCATTCAACATGAGCGCTTAACGATCTATCAATCAATCAATTCCAACATTAAAATTAATCAAAATAACTTTTTTTTATTTTCGCATATTTTTTTTGATTTCAAGCAAAATTTTTTTTGAGTTTTTATTTTTATTTCTTGATTGGCGCTTTTTATTATCTCGTATACGATTGATCATATATATTTCATCATAGCATAATCTGATTTTATTTTATTTAAAGTCTCTGAGTCATGAGAGAGACGAGAAAATAGGAAAATTAGAGATATTTTTTTCATTACCAAATCAGCATGAGTAATTTCATACATTTTTTAAAAAATATCACAAATTTTGAAGAGTTCTTTTGCAGGATGACTCTATGTATATAAAGAAAAAGAAAACTTCATGTAAGTCAAGAGGAAGGGATTAATTGGAAAGCTATTGAATGAAAACTTCCTCAACTTTTATATATTTTTTTTTTATATTCTTCATTTTAAGTTTAAAAACAATAATTTCATTTTTGAAGCACTTCTTCCATTGATTTTATGTTCAATTCACATAAGCCTTGAAATAATGGGAAAGATCATAAATAGTAATAGGATTAAATTTCATAGAGAATGCCGATAACACCATTTCAATGTCCATGTCATGAAGAACTTCTTTTTTTGGGATAAATCATTAATAATGCTCATGACATGGACTTTATAGTAATTAAAATCCATTGTCTGGTCCAACACATCAACAAAAAAAAAATCTATTAAGTGATAATTCAAAAGTCAACAACAAAAAATTAACAATATTTTATTATTTTCTTTACAATTATTAATTTTATTAATTAAGCTTATTGTGTGTCGTTTTTCTTTCTTCTTTCTATTCAAATAAAAAATAAATAAAATATATAAAAAAATCTAACATACATAATATTGGAACACCATTAAACTGGGAAAAATTCCTAAACTATGCCCAATCCATTATGCTTATGTATATATATAAAATATGCAAAATCATCCAGAACTGGCATCAAATGATGATCACTCCAATAACCATTCTAATTCTACAAATCAAGGCATGTTAGATTCTGGTCGCATTGTAACTGTGCGCGACTTACTCAAAGGCCTTTATGAAAAGGCATGCCAGCAAAAATTATGGGGTCTTGTGCGTCACACAGCCGGTATGTTAGGAAAGAGAGTTGAGGATTTAGCAAAGGCAGTTACTGATTTGCTTGTACGACAAAAACAGGTGAGGATGAGTTGATTATTATACATTGGACATAATTATTAAGAGTCCGTTATATTCAATATGCTTTTGCAAGCTTTAGCTGTACAATCGCTTTATAGACACTATCTGCTTCTTCTTATTTCCTAAATAAATCACTTTAGGTAACTGTCGGCATGCCACCAACAAATGAATTCACAATCACAGCGCCATTGCCCGAAGCAGAACTTCGTCAATTGATCCATGAAGCATATGGTGATGATGAAAGTACAGCTATGTTGACACAAGAATTGTTGGTCTATCTTTCAATGTTTATACGTACGGAACCACAACTGTTTCATGAAATGTTACGTCTTCGTGTCGGTTTAATCATTCAAGTTATGGCAAAGGAATTGTCCCGTACATTGCAATGTGATGGTGAACAGGCATCCGAACATTTGCTCAACTTGTCACCATTTGAGATGAAGAATCTTTTGCATCACATTTTAAGTGGTAAAGAATTTGCCGTAAGTAGTGTGGCACGTGGAAACTTCTCAATTGTTAGCTGCAAATCGAGTCGTGTGAGTAAGAGAAGTCAAATTGGTCTTGGCCCAGATCCTGATGATGATCCATCAACATTGATTGATGATAGACAAGGGCAATGGCTGCGTCGACGACGTCTTGATGGTGCTTTAAATCGTGTACCGAGAGACTTTTATCCAAGAGTTTGGACAGTTTTAGAAAGGGTAAGTTTTAATGGATATTTTATGTTAATTATGTTCCTAATTTCCATTTGTCTATCCAGTGTCAAGGAATAGCAATTGAGGGACGAGTCTTGCCACAGAGCTTAACACAAGAGATGACATCAAATGAGCTTAAATTCGCATTGGAAGTTGAGACAGCACTCAACACAATCCCACAGCCAGAATATCGTCAGTTAGTCGTTGAAGCACTTATGGTACTGACACTTGTCACAGAACATAATGTATCACATTCTCTCGGTGGAATAATTTATGTTGAGCATTTGGTCCATAAAGCAAATCAGTTATTTTTGGAGGATCAACGTGCAGTATCTGGCGATGCTACATTGTGTTGTGCAAAGTCAAAGGACGGATCAAAGGAAACAACAGCAACAGGAAATTTGTTATGCGGTGGTGCCGCATACATTTGCCAACATCTTTACGATAGTGCTCCAAGTGGAAGCTTTGGAACAATGACTTATATCGCCAAAGCAATTGCATGTGTCTTTGAATGCTTACCGAAGAATGGCGATGTCGATTGTTCAATTCAGTAAAAGATTTTTATTTTTATATATTTCGATTCTTTCTCTCACTTTAACTTAGTTATGAAATTTTGCCACTTTTAAAATCATCATTATTATTAAAATTATCATCTTATATAGTTAGGATTAATGACTTAATTGATATTACATGTGAATGAGAGGACTTAGTGTTGTCAATTGTTTGTAATTCGAGGAGAACATTCGTAAAATTGATTAATCGAGAGATTGGGTTTGTGAAGTTCTTAAAATCACAGATTGGCAAGACTTAAAGTTTTATGAGCAGTTCCTGAAGAGGATTTGACTGATTGTTTTCAAGTAAATTGTGTCAAAATGTATTGTTCAGCTCGAATATCCATTCAAGAAGAATTTAGATGTATGAAATGAAGCGTGCTTTGCACATAGTTTGGATAACACTGGTCAAACTTTAAAAACAGAGATGATAAGGATGTTAAGGAAAGTGTTGTAAATCAATGATCAGAGATCATTTTTTGTTATTTTATATGATTTATTTTATTTAATAGCCTATTTTATGAGAAGAAACTTTAAATTTATGAGTCAGAATTATTTTATGTAAACAAATTTGATTTGCCTGTTTAATGTAAATCAAGGCATGACAGAGAGAAAGAAAATAATAATAATTAAATACATTAAATTATAGTGTTTGCAATCAAATTTTATCATAATCATAGAACATACTACATTGTTAAATAATTTGAAGAAAAAAAAAATATTAATTAATCCTCTGAGCATTTTTATGGATGATGGAAGCTTCCAGCTATGATATTCAAATGTCCTTCCTTTAATTCATAATTTAATGAGCTGATTTCAGTGTAAATAACCCTGAAATTCTGTGTGAAGTCTTAGTCAAAATGTATTAAATCCAGAAATGTACCAAATATAAAATCCTATTTAGTTCCATAGGCTGCTATCTCTGAACCTTTAAGGAATGCTTCTTCATCTAGGATGCTCGGCTATTGAGAAGAAAAAAAAAATGTTAAATAGAAAATATTTCTCTTATAAATTATTCAATCTATTCTTTTGTTGACAATATCTACCTAAAAACTGTCAAGAAAGATTTGAGAGATTCTTGATGAAAATGCATGACTGATGTAAGATTTTAAGGGTGTATACTATGAGCTTTGGATAAGCCTTGTAAGTTGGCAGGACTGCATAGTTTCAATTAATTTGATGTGCTTTATTTTTGCGACTTCAAAACCGAATTTTCGATGGGAATCTCTCAAGTTATTCAATTAACTTCTAACAAACAAAACATAAATTACTATACCTTAACTTAAATTAAAGGAAAATGACAAATCATAGGAAAAATTTGAAAAAGTAAGAATAAATGTTTCATGAAAAGTTTTTCTAATGTTCAGTTAAAGTTCATAGCACACAGTCACAATTTTCTTCTTATGATACACAAAAAATGAGAAAAAAAAACAACAAGCATGTCTTATTTTTACTTTTTATCAACAAATGAATTGCGTAATTTATGCTTTAAACTCTAAACATTTTAAATCAGAACAATAAAATGGCAGAATGTTGAAGACAAATTTGGTCTTTTTCTTTTTAACGAGATTGTCTTACTTTCATAAAATAATTTTTTTAATCCTCAGTTCTTTCCCGTCTTAGAAGATGCAAAAGCTTTCTAATCCCTAAGGTCTTTTAACGACAGAGCAGCTATGATAATTTAAAGAATTCACTTTGAGTCTTTACTTTGGTATTTGTAGGAAGTACAGATACAGGCACGTTGAATATAGATAAACTTGATTCTTAAAGCATCAACAGCCTTCTGAATCAGGTTGTCTTGGATTTGATTTTGAGAGAAGTTTCAACCAATTTTAAGCTGATTCTATAATCTTATTGAAATATCTAGAAGCAAAGGCAACAGAACTTCTAGATGAATAAACAACTACCGAGCAGGAATTGAACCTGCGTCCTACGATTTACGATTGCATGCTCCTACTACTGAGCTATTAGGGGTAATTGGATATAGAGGTAAGTCGCATATAAAAGTTACAGTATTTTATTTTTCCATTCCACTTACATGATATGTCGTTGACTTGCTATTGCATGAAATCACTTATTCCTACTGATCTTCTTGTTTAACAAAGAATAAAGAAAAGATACCTTCAGACAAATCAATAAATTCGATAAAATGCATAATGTCACTAAAAGTTAAAGTTTAAAGCCATTGATTTATGTCCGTGTTTAATTGCCTATCAAAATAATTAAATATACAGGATATAAACTTCCTGTTGATCATTTTGTGGCCATAAAATGCGTCAAAAAAAAAATCAATTAATGATTCAGGATTGCACATGAAAAATGCACAGCAGTCAATTGTCATGACATACGAGGTATTACAGTCATGAACTTTGAATCGTTAAAAAATGGAAATAAAAATAAAATCAAAAAAATACGTAATCCAAACTAAAAATCCAATTCATTGGAACCGTCGGTCGAGTGTCGATGATTAATGCGCACAGATAAAAATTATGACTGCAAAAAGTAAACTTTAACTCAATTGAAAGTTCATCAAAAGAATGAAGATGAAAAAAATTCAACCCTCATTGTTATTGTGGTGTGGTTTATATTTTTCTGAGCACTGAAGCACTTTAACATTGTTACTGCCGTTGCCTCTCCAATGATAAATTACGAGTGGAATGCTGAGTATTTTTTTTTTGTATATGAAAACTTTTTTTTTATTGCACATACTTATAATTGAAAAGCTCTCGAGAGACACACGAACGATGACGGTAGTTGCTGTGCTGAATAGTGGAAAATAAGAAAAATTAAAAAGTTTTTCATTCCACGAGTGGAATTAACAGCGACAATAGAAAGGGAAAAAAGAGAAAAATTGTTGGAGGTGTTTTCAAGTCCAAGTGCAATTTTTCAAGTTCTTTCACACTTAATTACGTACAATTAAATTTAATGTCGCTTGTTGCCTTTATTTAGTTCTCACTGCATTGATTTTCTTCCCTTTTCCTTCTTCTTTTGTCGTGAAAATAAATTTTTTTAAAGGATCACAGAGTTGCTAAATTTGAATGGTCCTACAACATATTCAGCGTTCATTCAACAAAGGAAATCGGTTCTAATCTAGATCAAGTATTCAGCGTTAATTGAACAAAGGAAATCACTTCTAATCTAGATTAAGTATTAAGCGTTCATTGAACAAAGGAAATCAGTTCTAATCTAGATTAAGTATCGAGCGTTCATTGAACAAAGGAAATCAGTTCTAATCCAGATTAAGTATTAAGCGTTCATTGGACAAAAGAAATCAGTTCTAATCTAGATTAAGTATTCAGCGTTTACTGAACAAAGGAAATCAGTTCTAATCTAGATTAAGTATTAAGCGTTCATTGAACAAAGGAATTAAGTTCTAATCAAGATCAAGTATTCAGCGTTCTTTGAACAAAAGAAATTAGTTCTAATCTAGATTAAGTATTCAGCGTTTACTGAACAAAGGAAATCAGTTCTAATCTAGATTAAGTATTAAGCGTTCATTCAACAAAGGAAATCAGTTCTAATCTAGATTAAGTATTCAGCGTTTACTGAACAAACGAAATCAGTTCTAATCTAGATTAAGTATTAAGCGTTCATTAAACAAAGGAAATCAGTTCTAATCTAGATTAAGTATTAAGTGTTAATTGTTGAATGAACGCAAAGGAAATCAGTTCTAATCTAGATTAAGTATTCAGCGTTTACTGAACAAAGGAAATCAGTTCTAATCTAGATTAAGTATTAAGCGTTCATTAAACAAAAGAAATCACTTCTAATCTAGATTAAGTATTCAGCGTTCATTGAACAAAGCAATTTAGTTCTAATCTAGATTAAGTATTAAGCGTTCATTGAACAAAGGAAATCAGTTCAAATCTAGATTAAGTATCGAGTGTTCATTGAACAAAGGAAATCAGTTCTAATCTAGATTAAGTATTAAGCGTTCATTGAACAAAGGAAATCAGTTCTAATCTAGATTAAGTATTCAGCGTTCACTGAACAAAGGAAATCAGTTCTAATCTAGATTAAGTATCGAGCGTTCATTGAACAAAGGAAATCACTTCTAATCTAGATTAAGTATTAAGCGTTCATTGAACAAAGGAAATCAGTTCTAATCTAGATTAAGTATTCAGCGTTTACTGAACAAAGGAAATCACTTCTAATCTAGTTTAAGTATTCAGCGTTTACTGAACAAAGGAAATCAGTTCTAATCTAGATTAAGTATTAAGCGTTCAGTGAACAAAGGAAATCAGTTCTAATCAAGATTAAGTATTAAGCGTTCATTGAACAAAGGAAATCAGTTCAAATCTAGATTAAGTATCGAGCGTTCATTGAACAAAGGAAATCAGTTCTAATCTAGATTAAGTATCGAGCGTTCATTGAACAAAGGAAATCAGTTCTAATCCAGATTAAGTATTAAGCGTTCATTGGACAAAAGAAATCAGTTCTAATCTAGATTAAGTATTCAGCGTTTACTGAACAAAGGAAATCAGTTCTAATCTAGATTAAGTATTAAGCGTTCATTGAACAAAGGAATTAAGTTCTAATCTAGATCAAGTATTCAGCGTTCTTTGAACAAAAGAAATCAGTTCTAATCTAGATTAAGTATTCAGCGTTTACTGAACAAAGGAAATCAGTTCTAATCTAGATTAAGTATTAAGCGTTCATTGAACAAAGGAAATCAGTTCTAATCTAGATTAAGTATTCAGCGTTTACTGAACAAAGGAAATCAGTTCTAATCTAGATTAAGTATTAAGCGTTCATTAAACAAAGGAAATCAGTTCTAATCTAGATTAAGTATTAAGTGTTAATTGTTGAATGAACGCAAAGGAAATCAGTTCTAATCTAGATTAAGTATTCAGCGTTTACTGAACAAAGGAAATCAGTTCTAATCTAGATTAAGTATTAAGCGTTCATTAAACAAAAGAAATCACTTCTAATCTAGATTAAGTATTCAGCGTTCATTGAACAAAGCAATTTAGTTCTAATCTAGATTAAGTATTAAGCGTTCATTGAACAAAGGAAATCAGTTCAAATCTAGATTAAGTATCGAGTGTTCATTGAACAAAGGAAATCAGTTCTAATCTAGATTAAGTATTAAGCGTTCATTGAACAAAGGAAATCAGTTCTAATCTAGATTAAGTATTCAGCGTTCACTGAACAAAGGAAATCAGTTCTAATCTAGATTAAGTATCGAGCGTTCATTGAACAAAGGAAATCACTTCTAATCTAGATTAAGTATTAAGCGTTCATTGAACAAAGGAAATCAGTTCTAATCTAGATTAAGTATTCAGCGTTTACTGAACAAAGGAAATCACTTCTAATCTAGTTTAAGTATTCAGCGTTTACTGAACAAAGGAAATCAGTTCTAATCTAGATTAAGTATTAAGCGTTCAGTGAACAAAGGAAATCAGTTCTAATCAAGATTAAGTATTAAGCGTTCATTGAACAAAGGAAATCAGTTCAAATCTAGATTAAGTATCGAGCGTTCATTGAACAAAGGAAATCAGTTCTAATCTAGATTAAGTATCGAGCGTTCATTGAACAAAGGAAATCACTTCTAATCTAGATTAAGTATTAAGCGTGCATTGAACAAAGGAAATCAGTTCTAATCTAGATTAAGTATCGAGCGTTCATTAAACAAAGGAAATCAGTTCTAATCTAGATTAAGTATCGAGCGTTCATTGAACAAAGGAAATCAGTTCTAATCTAGATTAAGTATTCAGCGTTTACTGAACAAAGGAAATCAGTTCTAATCTAGATTAAGTATCGAGCGTTCATTGAACAAAGAAAATCAGTTCTAATCCAGATTAAATATTAAGCGTTTATTGGACAAAAGAAATCACTTCTAATCTAGTTTAAGTACTCAGCGTTCATTGAACAAAGCAATTTAGTTCTAATCTAGATTAAGTATTAAGCGTTCATTGAACAAAGGAAATCAGTTCTAATCTAGATTAAGTATCGAGCGTTCATTGAACAAAGGAAATCAGTTCTAATCTAGATTAAGTATCGAGCGTTCATTGAACAAAGGAAATCAGTTCTAATCTAGATTAAGTATTCAGCGTTTACTGAACAAAGGAAATCAGTTCTAATCTAGATTAAGTATCGAGCGTTCATTGAACAAAGAAAATCAGTTCTAATCCAGATTAAATATTAAGCGTTTATTGGACAAAAGAAATCACTTCTAATCTAGTTTAAGTACTCAGCGTTCATTGAACAAAGCAATTTAGTTCTAATCTAGATCAAGTATTAAGCGTTCATTGAACAAAGAAAATTAGTTCTAATCTAGATCAAGTATTCAGCGTTCATTTAACAAAGGAAATCAGTTCTAACCGAGACAAAGTATTCACTTTAAATTTTGTTGTTTCCGTTCCTCACAAAAAAGTTTAAAAGTTGATTTTAATTAAAAATAAAATTTTAAAAAACAGAAATTAAGACCAAAATAGCTCAAAAGTGTAAGAATAATAATTAAAACCTCAAATTCCAACTCTGAATTCACAGAAAAGAAAAAAAATCGAAAGAAGTGAGGGAAATAAACTTTTAATTTAGTTTAT